AAAACGCGGATGTCGCGTCAAAAAGATCTGACTCAGCAAAGTTACTTTGGGATAGAGATAGAGACCAGATGGTCTCCAGCAGCTACCCAGATTTTTGACATAATAACAGATTTAAGACAGAGAATAGCGTTATAAATTAAATTTAAAAAGGAAATTTAAAGATAATTTTAAGAAAATGAAGAGGAAAATTCTGCTCTAAAAATTTTATTATTTTATTATATTTATATTATTTTTTACTAAAAATTCTAAAAAAAATTTTAAAGTTTAGTTGAATTAATAAAAAAAAAAGTTGAATAGTACGGGAAATTGAAAAATAATTCAAAAATATAGAATAATTTGTTAAAACGACTGCTCGCAAAAATCATTTAATAATTTAATCTTGCTACATTAAAGCATCGTCTTTGCCAGAAATATCATTTTCGTTCTTCACAGGAGTTGACGCATCTAGATTTTGTTATTTCTTAAGCCCTATTGTTGATGGTGTCAAAAGCGAGGAAATTCAGTCAGAACATGGACTGATACAATCAAAGGAGGTTTTATACGTATAAGACGACCAATGCTTAAACATCGAAGAGGGAATGGTACCTATTATTTTCAATTATTGGATTGAGAAGTTTGGAAACAGTAGTCGTGAATGGAATCCAAGTCAACTAGCTATTGGCAGATCCTTTCTTCGCGTAAAATGTTCTTTTTTTTCTTCTTCTTTTTAGTGATAATTAGAGAGATCAAATGATGTTGTTTCGATAAAGATTTTATCTTCGATCAACATATCTTTCTTGCTGCCTGATAGGAGTAAACGTATTGTTAAAAGTGAGATGGTGGTGCTGTAGATTAACATCTATATCTTTATATCCATATTCTATTTATATCTCACCATGATTTTCCAGTGAAGCAGTTTTACGCCTTTAGTCTGGGAAGGTAAATGAAGAAATGGTGAATAGAAGAAAAAAGTTCAACTATAAAAAAGTGAAAAGTGCAGAATAAATGATTTTTGAAATAAATAATAAAGTTGGAAAAACAATATAACAACTAAGTCAATGGTTCTCGATGCAGATCGAAAAAACCATACAAGTAGGCCATCACTGCTCCAGTTTAGGCTGATATTTGTGTGCAGCACTTACTAATTAAGACTTTAGGACAGTAAATTGCAATAAAAACATGGCATAAAGCCATTAGACATGGCAAATATTTTAACTGAAAATTTCTGCAATAACTGACGAAATAAATATTTAATGTAATAATTTAAAATCGACTCAAACAATCGTATACGATAATTGAAAATTTGTTCAAAGTACAGGTAGGAAAAAATTCAAACTCTTCAAACTTTTCATTGCTAAAAACCTTCAGCTTCAAAAATAAATTGCTAAATCTTTGAAATCAAAACATTATATATAAAAATGAATTGAAAAGTCACAATTTCGATAATAAATCGGCGTCATATAATGATCGATTCAGTGCCTCGTTAATTGAAGCTTTTTAGTGCAGTTTAAGGATTGATGCAATTTATGATAATGGAAAAACCAGTTTAACAGGCGTTGCAAAGTGCAATCCATTAAGTCATTCCCTATTGCAGAATAGCGAATTCACGTCAATTATCGAAAATCAGGTAATAAGGCATGAACTATCATCCCAGAAGGGTGCGTCGGTGACTTGCCAGCAAAAGCTTTGATTCAACCAGCGCTTTCGATGGGGAAGCGCTAAGATTTAAAAATTTGAAAAAAATCAAAAATGGATCTGACTCACTCAACTCAAGAGTTCAGATTAACATAAAAAATTCTACAAAAATTTAACAGAAATCAATAAATAATGAAATCAAAACCACAGTAGGCGGACAACAATAAATAAGCGGCTGGACAAAAGTCGCCGAAGGACTAGTGAAATTAGCTGCAAATGGCACCCTTCGACAATTTAAGAAATGGGTAAAGATCAGATTACAAGAGCCAAACAAAAGACGAGGAAGACAGACCGATTTCCAAAGCAGCTACATTCTTAAAATCTATAAATAAAATATAATATCAACATGAAATGGAATATTAATCGAAAAATTCTGTTTGTTATGCAATAATAAATTTTTAGCGGATAAATTTATTTGTCATTCAAGTTTTTTCTAATTCGCAGAAAAAAACTTCCCCAGGAAGACTGCTGTAATACTTAATTTAAATTGAATCCTCTTTCCGAAAAATGAGCAAACATTAAATATTGCCATCTGCTAGATCTATATAACAAAATTACGGTATATTGCCAGCACTGCCTCAAGAAATGAGTCAAAGTTTTTTCCTTCCTTAATCTCGCTTTTAGCCTTTTGTTTATCACATTTTTTAAAATTTAGAAATTATAACGAATTATAAATCTTTGTTATTCAGAAAATTAAAGAAATCTGCAAGAAAAATTCTTCACTTATTTGAATATGATATAATAATTTAGTTTTTTTTTCAAAGAGCCCTCACCATTACTGGTTAAACTCCTGTGGCTTGTTACACTAGACAAATATGCTAAGGAGTCCCTTGGTGGTAGAAGTACAGGTGAGTCGCCAGCATCACTTGATTTTTGAACTTATTAGACTTAATTATTCCCATTGATCTCCAAGAAATCGAATTGACCTCGATTGAAAAATATTTCTTTAACACTCATCATTTCTGGTATGGTTGCCATTATTGGCTATTATAAGTGGGCTGATTGATGCATTTTTGCCAGGAAGCCATTTGAACATTCTATTGTAAATAAATCTTCTGCACCACCTGGTTACATGGACTTTAAAACAATATTTTTTGAATTGACCTATTAGGTATATTTAATATCCTAAAATCTTATAAACTGTCATCTCATCCTACAATCAACGGTTAACAAAGATGCAAATTTCTCAATTCATATCATATTTCGTAACAATTTGCTAATAGTGTAACATCATTTATATCCAAAAGAAAAGCACCCTTAACAGCGTATAGAGATTCGATATATTTACTTAACAATTTTTAGCACAATTGGAAAAGATTGAATGATGAGCTTACAATAGTTGCTCGACTTAAAGGTCCTTTATATTCAACGGCAGATCCAGCTGATTTAGCCATTTTTACAGCATTCTTCATGTCATTTTTAGACTGTATCATACGTGCTCGCCGTTCATCTCGTAGATTATTACCAGCTGAGCTACGTTTAATTTTTTTAATTTTCCGCATATATTTGAAATCTTCATACTGATTACGAATAGAACCATCCGAATAATCGACATTATTCATCGTTGTTGATTCTGTTGCAAAATGTTCATTCGAGATCTGCAAATTTGATATTTGTATTTTAAATTACCTGCGGCAGAACCAAACTGCAATTGAATGAGTTAATAACGGATTCTGAAAATAGAAAAGGTAGCAAATCCAATGTGTAAGATTGACTGGAAAAGATAACAATTAAAGCAAAAACGAGTCAAATTCCTGGAAAATTAAATAGCCTTCGCCTCATGGATTCAGATTTTTTCTCTTTTTTTTTCAGAAATCTCATCAATCTTACGCTCATTGGATTTATGGGATGAAATATACGTTACGCTCATCGGTAATATCGCTATTATGTTCATAAAAATCATTTTTTTTAAAGAGCACTCAGCATTAATGGTTAGGCTTGCTACACTGGCTTGTCACACTAGAAAACATGCCTTGGCAATGGAAGTACACTAAGTCGCTAGCATCAGTCAAACTTTTGGGCAGGGAGTAGAGTGCAGAGAACTTCAGAATCTGCGTTCTCAATTAAATCATTGAGCCATTCTACTTCTTGCTGAAAAAAATCACACTAATAAAAAATTATTTTTGTATTAAATGGAGCCATACTGTCAGGCTGTCCGGATTGATATTTTGGTTTTGTTTTACTCGACATTTTACTTTGCTAGGATCATCAACTTGTGGCTCATCAATCAGATATAGCAAGTGTTGACCATTTTCAGAGAAACTTGGCCATATTATATCCAACGATGCACCGGTGATTGCACTTGGTCCTCGATTTATCACCTGTAGAGTATATATATATATATATATATCATCAAGGTCATAGCAGAAAAGGCGATAAAAGAAAAATTTACCTGATATAAATGACTCACAATAGGCCCAATTTCAGAATCAAAAATAGCATTTAGGCCGGGCGTACGATTTCGAATTGAATAATCGAGTTGTTCTGGTGTTGATCGACCGACTAATGATAATTGCGCTTTTACTTCTAGTGGAACTCGTAGAATAATTTCATTGTCAATATCTCGACCTTCTGCTTCCTTATTCGTACTAAACAAACATAAGCTTATAAATAAGCTCGATAAGATCTATTTCAACCATACATATTATTATTTAATAGTATTCACCAGTTCTTGTTTGGCTGAGCCCACTAAGTATTTGGAACAAGATCCCTATGTCAGAAAGTCAATTGAGGATAGATTGACATGTTGCTGCCATGCATCGCTTGAACTTCACTTCTAATTACATTTATTTCGCAAAAAAATAGGAATCGAGCCCATGATGCTTGACAATGTTAGTCGAAGCGATTCTCCACTTGACTATCATTTCATTCTTAGTTCAGTGATACATAAGTAAGCGATTAGCAGAGTCATATCTGGTTATGTCAGCGCGATTAGAAATTTTTGCCAGAGAATTACATAGCGATAAAACTACAGCTGGGTCGCCAGCAGCAATCGGATTGTTGAATGGCCAGCTAACTACGGTATTTGCAATAGGATTCGATTAATTTAAAAAAATGTTCGAGCAAACCTGTTAGCAAACATTTTAACGACGACTTCTTCACCGGTTGCATCAACATTCGTACCTGTCAAACGGAATCCGAAATTTGCTTTACCATCTCCAGGTAGAGGATTGCCAATATCGCAGACAAAAATATAATCATCGCTTTTACCAGCTTTTGTTTGAGGAGAACAACTAAGCGGTTGCTAAAGTGTAAAAAAAGTGGATTCGTTCTCAAGAGACAATGAAATGGCCTCACTCCTAAGCTTGTCAACATAAATGTCACACTAGGAATGAAAACAATCTTAAGCATCAATTTTAAAAGCCAGATTTAAGTTTTTGATACAATATTCTTCTTTTTTTATTTTATAAAAACGGCTTTGGTTTTAATTTTCGCTTTTTTTTCGAGAATTTTGTTTGATTCTAACTTTTATAAGAAAAATATTTCATCTTTTTCGTTTAATATTGTTAAACGACACAGCGTTCAAATTCGTTCTCTACTCGGCTCTTTTCTAAATAAATAAGTAATATTTGCATTAAGTTAAAACAGTTAAAACAGCCAGGAGGTTATTATCGTAAGGTATTGGGCAAATTACTTAGAAGAGAGGAAAGAAGGGTAAATGACGATGAAATTTAAATGCTATTTTCTAACATATGTTCTTTTGTTGTCAGGAAAATTTTTTTTCTTCTTTTTCTCACACCATCATCATTTCTGGTTTGACTGGTTTCTCTGGCTATTGGGACGAAATCGCTCCTCCAGAAAGTCATTTGGAGATAAAAATATAGGTGGAGTGGATTCTTGGTATGCACTACAGCTTTTATTTAAAGCATAAGAGAAGTACCTTCGTTGCATAATTTTCAACACCACCATATTCGAATCCAGATGGAATAATAACATAAAATTGACTTTCATACGAATCTTCTCCACGATTGTTAACCGTCACATCAATTAATAGTGATTGATCAATTGCACCAATGGTAAACTTTTCTTTACGTCTGAAATAAATGGTAAATTAAAGAACTGACTATTAAAAAGGGTTATTTTCCATGGAAAATCAGTAAAACGAAGTAGAAACTAACGAAATGGCGTGTACTTTCAAATCAGGGACACACTTTTCATCAGATCCACAATTTTTATCAATCGCTAACTGAAATAAGAATTATCAATTTTTCTGTCCTAAATGAAGGACAAATCGTCAACCCATTGGCTAAATAAATGGAATTAAATTCTAATGAAATTTTTTTGAAATTAATCTACCGAGAAAGGGTAAGTATGGGATTAGATCTTAAATATTGCATCTTTTTCATCTTCTATTTGTAATTACCATTTCTTGTTGGCTGGTTCCACTGATTAGGACCTTGGAGATAGTGGCACAAACATTTCCATCTCCCCATTAACTTCCCATCATTAAGCATGTCTCATTTTCGAAGAAAGTTTTGTTCCTAGCCAGGAATTCTAACCTGTGATTTGGTTCTAATCGAGGCAAATGCCACCTGACCCCTCGATATTTCGAAATCCCCTTATTTTCTTATTTATTGGTTTATATAAATTATTTCCTCCTATATAGTGCTCAATTTTCCCTTTTCGCTTCATTTCTCTTGGGCATTTTTCTTTCTTTTCGACTCAAATCATATTGTAATATTTCGCACTTTTCGTTTAATTACTAAAATATAATTATTCATAAGGGGAATGAAAAGCCGCCGAGGTAATTCAGATATGATAATTTGTTTCACAATACGGCTCAATATTAAAGATCTATGTAAATGTAAATTTATTGATGCTTGTGATCTGTGCTTTTAATATCCTCTTGATGTATAATTTAAAGCTATCATATTACTCCGGGAACTCTGGGTTTATTATTAGATTATTGTGTCATATTTTACCTATTGCCTACTATTTGTCTTCCGACATCGTCTGCAATGTTCCGAAATAGCAGTTGGCGATCGACATAACAGATTGGGGATAACGAATTGGCCAAATAGGAAACTTACTGTTAGTCAAATTAGCGAATCTCTTTTTTTAATTCGTTCGACCGGCAGCGGGTAAAATCTCGCGAACTGTTCGATGTTATCTTACAGCCAGCAGATAATGATGGAAATGTTTGCAGAGCTACTGCAACAATCGAGAACTATATCGTTAGAGCAGATCGAGCCTTCCTTTGAAACCATCGCTGGAAACATCTCGACATTCCATTTTTATCCGAAAAATTAGAACCAAACATTCAATACGTGGTTTAACCATTATCATGGCTTATTTTCAAAAGACGCCACATAACTGGACGAATCAGCTCGCTTTCTGCTCCGCAAGTTGGATGATCCAGCGTATGAAAAATACGCGAATTTCATTCACCTAGAAATCCTGGCGGCATATCTTTCAAATTGTAGTAACACTGGAATCATTATTTATTCCGCAGAAATCACTAAGAGATACCAGCGGTTAAATCTATGAAAGAAAGTGTAAGAAGATTTCACTTCGTAATTATCAACGAAGAATGCGAACAATTCAACCTCAGTACGATCGAGCAATCTAAATGTTTTATTTGTGGACTCCATTAACCAGAGAGTATTGCTATTCGTATCAAACTTTTGCACATGAAGCTCGAATGAATCGAACACTTCGATTCGACAGCTGATCGATGAATGCGATCCGCATATTAACCTATTGCACGATGATAAAACGATTGAAAGAAGAAGAATGACTAAGACGATCATGTAGCCAATCATGAAACCAAATCGCCAATCTGTAATAAAAATTCCAGAAAACCATGTTGGTTTTGTAGCCATTAGAAATGCTTTATCGAAGTGATTATCGAAATACTTGGTATGCATACAAAAAAATAAAGAATTTTGGGGCTCAGATAAAGTAAAAGATATTCTGAAACAAACGGAAACCAGGAAGAACAGTGAATTAAATCGAGGTGGAAACTAAAAAATCTAATAATGCAGTGCACATTAATAACAGTCAACAATTTGTAAGTTTTGCAAAAGTTGAAATAAACATGTCCAATGACTTTTAAACTGGATAGCCGGTTAGATTGCATCAGCTTCTTATTCAGAGAATCTTGGAAGGATATCGGACCACCGAAACTAAGGAAACCATCTGCAATATTGAGAAATGTAAGCGGTAACATTATTAAAACAGATGGAGAATTTCGATGCCTTTTCATTTTCAAAATAAAAAGTTATGAGACATGAGTTATGTTATGTTATGTTATGCTAGGAGTAAATCTCGAATTACCAAAAAATCTTAGGTCTTTATGATGTTTTCAAATTTTGCCGAACATAATAGCTTATGCGGGCATCAAAAAATGACAACAGAACTCCAGAACAAATTCGACAATAATTTCCGACTACCGGTGACTCATCTATCGGATTCAAAAGCCTCAATTAAAACCAAATGCAATCCTCGAAAATCATATCACAACAACAGAAGCGTTAATGGGAAGCAGAATAAGAACTTTGACAAAACTTTGCACTCAGCATTGAGCAAAGGACCTCAAATAAGTAAAAGGAAGAAACCGACATCAAAATGCTATTGGTTTTTGGACCTTGTTAATTTGTCTATGCAAAGGATTATCAAAACCAGCGAGAAAGAGGGAACCAGCAAAAATAGTTCAGAGAATTGGAAAAATAATATGCAAGGTTGAAATCGCTAGCAGATGCCATATACGACATGCAAATCGAACTCGTAGCCGAGCAGCCAATCGCTATACTTCAACGTTCTGGCAAATGATACATCTAAAGTAGAAGGCAATATGAATCAAGCATCGATCGATCCTCACCTGAACCACAACGATCAGCGAGAATTCGAAGACCACCAAGCAGAATCGGTCCACAAATATCAACTTATGTGATGCTTTCTCTTTTTTTAGGAATATCCCTTTTTGGAGGAAGAAAATATTGTACAACACAGAGATAATTTCTCTCTCTGCTTTCTCTCTCTGAAATATTAGTGTAAAGACCTATGTAAAAATGTAAGATCTATTGATGCTTGTGATGTTTCTTTCTTGTTGTAAATTTGGGCTATTCTATTACTCTAGCAACTGTAAGTTTATCATTCATTATATTGTTGTATCGCCGTTGTATCTTACTTATTGCCTACCGTTCGTGCCATGATTTCTTCGTCTACAACGTTACGCTTGCGTCCTTGAATAAAAATAATAAAAATAAGAATAAGTTGCAACTTAATAAATAAACCCACTTCAGTTATAAAAGCAAGTGGCACTGTGCTATCAAGCGCTGGTTCTAACTGACCCGAGGCGCTAATCCCATTTGGCCTCTCTTCATACGTATAATTAGCCGACAAAAATATTGGACTCAACTTATCGCGTATTGAATCCTGTCAAATTAAATCTATTTCATTACTATGTCAATTCAAAAAATATGAAAGATTTCATATGAAAGATAAAAAATCTTTGAAAGCAAAGATTCGAATAAAATTCATAAATCATTGATATTAAGCTCACCGGGACATAAATATCGTAAAGATCACAAAATTGTTGGTCTTTTCTGATATGAATAATTTGTTCGATAACATCAGGTTGATCGCGAGACGTAGATTTTTTATGCACTTTGATATTACGTTTCGAACCCTCAAATTAGTGGATATTTAATGGTGAACCATCTATTCGAAACAAATGCGAATAAAATCATGAACTTGAAAAAAATAAAACAAATTAGCAAAAAATCACAGCCATTTGTTACATAGCATTTATATAACTTTTGCAGTGGAAATAGCAGTAAAACGACAATATGCAAGAAACAATAAATAAACTATTTTGACGATTTTTGGAGACTTTGTAGTATTAGTATTTAATTTTGACTGCCCTGTTACTGAGACCAAATATTTTCTTTTGCATCGGCTAGGCCTTAGTTTTAACCCATTTGATCTTGTTACATTACAGCTTATTGACAAATCTGGATTCTTAGCAATAATGTGCCATTATTATATATTGAAGACAACAGGAGACCTAGAGAACCAACTTGATGGAAACCAGTTTTGATAGAAAATTTTAATAATTTGCTATCAACTCTTACAGTTTCTTTTCTATCAGAGGTATCTCTTATCTTTCTTATGTCCAAATCATTGCCATTTATGCCCACATTCGAAACAACTGATAGCAGTTTGCAGTGTGAAATAATGTTTATATTTATTTATTAAATTAAAGTTCAATCATTTGTTTTTAAATTATCTAGTCGTTGAATCAATAAGCGTATAAAATAAAACGGCTAAGACAAATAGTGATTAGTGCTTCCTGGGCAATCTATCTCCGCTGGCTATAAATACGGTTAGAAACAATTCGTCAGGAAGAGACCAGTATAGGTGAATCGCCAGCACTGACCGGATTTTTGAAAAACAGATTTACTCCTATTAGAGCCAGAGAACTAAACCTATGATACTAGACAAAAATCGATGCAGCAATGCCACTCGATTATGACTATTTCTGAATGCATAAAAGAGCAGATCATTTCAAAGCAAAAATTTTTTTCATTTTTTAAAATAACTTACGATTTCTTTCTTTCTGAAAAAAGCCCTTGGCGCTATCGTCTTCTTGAAATCAAGTTGAATTAGAAGTTTTAGGTCAATATCATTGGGCGATTGGCCTTTTCCTTCATACTGTAGGCATAGCTTCATTTTTTCACTGCAAAATTTCTTATTCGTAAGATTTCAACGCTCATGGCAAAATATATTCATTGTTCTCTTCAAATTTTTCAAATAGCAAATTTTTTCCCTCTTCTCTCATCTGACAGCAGTACTTATTTCCATTTCTGGTTCCATTGGTTACTAGGATCAGACCCTTTGCTAGAGAGAAATATTTGAGAACAAAAAAATAGGTCGCCAGCATCACCTGGATTTCACAATGATAGATTAAATGCATCAGCGGATAGGAATCAAATCTGTGGTATTTAATTTAATTTATTCGAATAAAATTCTATCAGAATTTATTTGGAAATCGACACAATTGCCCCATTTGCTTTGTAAGTTTTCTACGAATAGTTTTCACTTTAAATTTTTTTTTTTCTTAAATTTTTGGATTCTTTTAAACTCGTTTCTTCTTTTCACTTTTGGTTTCTTTGAAATATCACTAAATTTTAGTTCATTTTTATTGCTTTCGAATTATTATGGCAAATATAATCTTATTAAATTGTTTCACTTTTTACGCTTGGAGACTTTCCAATTAGCTTGATTAAAAGAAATAATCGGAATGTTTTACTATTTCTTCATTACAATAGTTAAAAATTCTTCTTAAAAATTGGCGAACCATGCCATATATCCAAATTCAGTCGGACAACTTTTATCTTCAAGATTAATTGATTTTTTAGTTGTTGTAAGCGATCCGAAAACGGTTATCACTGGTTTTGTTTTAAAGACAACAGCATGTGCACTTTGATAAGCACCAACAGCGATATCTTAAATTAATGGATAATGGTTTCCTTAAATTTAAACAGATTGGGATGAATTGATTGTTTCTGATTTAAATAACATTCGATGACTTACCTGGATATTGATTTTTATCGATATCTTTACCACCTGCCAATGAAAAACCAAATGCTTGCAAGTCAGCGTGGACTTTTCTAGCTTCAATTTTTTGAGTTGGTTCCAATCGAACACCGTCTTTTGCACCGTGGTAAATATATACTGCTCCTCTGCCATCTTCACTATCATAAGGAGCTCCGACGATAAAATCTAAACTGATTTCAGGTAATTTCAGGTAGATAATTTTTTCTGAGCTCTTTGAGACCTTTAACTACTATTTGAATTATGAAAACAGTCAATTTTTTGATCTATCCATTAATAAAATAATTAAGATCAACTCGTAAAATATGGACTGAAACGGTGATGCCTTTAATAATGCTCTCATAGTACACAAAACTCAATGCTTGTATGACTTGGATTCGAAGTGTTCAAAATAAGCGAGTTTGACGAATTTCAGTACACATATTTCAACTGATAATTTAAAGAATCAGAAGCGGATAAAATATTGCAGAAAAAAATATGAGCGAAATGCTAATGGCATATGGAAGTGTTACTGGGAACTAGGAAATATATTTGAGGCTTCCGGATCAATTCCTGAAAAGCAACAAAATGATCTAAATCCACGTGGATGTTGCAGATCTCCAGCTGAACTGTGTCCTTTCTTCATTTTATGCACAAAAAATAATAGTCGTTATCTATCGATGGGATACCCAAAAATTGGTTCATATGGATGTTGCAAATGAACAATATGCATTTTCCTCATCTGGAGGTGGAGTGGCACAGTAGCATGAAGTTTCATCGTACAAAATTCATTTCTTTTCGAATATTGACGCAAATATAAAAATCTGCTAATAAACACCCAACTGATGAATTGTTCAATGGTTGTTAGCAACCGATAAACCATTAAAAATGTTACGATTACCAACAAATTTTTTCGATTCCATTACCCATTGCTTGATTGCTTGATTTAAGTTGGCATGACGATTCATTTTGAAAGGTTTGGTTAAAACCCTTCTACGGTTGGAGTTTCACTGATCCACATAGAAATATCCAGCTGATTTGATGAAATACCAAATAAGAATTTCTCGGAGATTACTGATTTCTACTCTTCCGACTCGAGTTTTTAAACTCTAAGGAAAGAAGGAGCGATAATTCTAGATAATTATAATTCATGCTTCTCCTACCAGTCGTTACTTGTTCGCTAAATAAATCTTTATTTTGTATGTTTTGTTACTTGTCTGAAATAAATTTTTTTAAGATTTTCAAAAAGTAAATACAGTTACATTTGAATCTTTGACTTGAACAAACTATTAAACATGGAATAGATTTTGTTCTTAGACTTATTATCAAGGCAATTCGATTAAATGGCCAAGAATTTCACAAAGGATTGATTGCAATTTATCTCAGCAAAGTTTTGCAAAATTCCAGATCTGTGATTTGTGATTCTTATTTGCAAATTTAATAAAATATTTTACTACAATATGCAAATTTTGTTTGAAATTATAAGCAAATACTTGTATTAAAAGATGAATGCTAATTTTTTATTTTTCATCTTTCATTTTCACTTTTTGGATATTTAAATTTACAAAAAATCACCAAAAATTACCATTGTAACCATCTTGATTCAAATCACCAGTTGCTGCTAACGAGAATCCAAATCGTGACCATTCGGTGTAACCTATAAGCGTTTCCCATCTTGGAAAGCCATGCTATAATAAAGTTCAGATAAATATATTGAAAAAATATAATTCATGGAATCGTAGAACCACGGAATTATGGAGTTCCACAAGTATTAAGCATTAACACCCATCATTTCTGTTAGGCTTACTGGCTATTAATATTACCAGCAATTTTTGCTAGAGAGTCAATAGAAATGGGTCTTTAAGAGCTTTATGGAGTTTTATAGAATTTTGTCTTATGGATTTATTAGATAATGTCGAATTTTTTAAGCGATTTTTTACGAAAGCAAATATAGTTCAATAAATTGGGATGAATTAAAAACTGAGCTATTCTACCTTTGGCTTAAAGGAAGTACTAAATACGTAAGGAATATGGATTATATACGGAAAATGAATTTATATTTTCGAGTCCAATTTAAGACCTCAAGTAGTGCATAAGGTTAAAGTTAAAAATTTATAGCAATAAGAGCATTGATCTTCTATTTACTCGAAGCATTAATTAATTTTTAACCATTAATTTCCTTGGTTGCGAATGAAAATGAGAAATTTAAATTACCGATGAGTCTTGAAAGAATATCATAACTTTGCCAACATCATAACGAGGTTTGTGCTCTTGCGTTTTAACATCTTTCACCGTTTTATAATCCGTATAAAATGGAGCACCAACTATTATATCATCATAACTGAAACTTATCTCTGTTATTCATTTAACTATCTATTTAAGAATGATAACTCCTTCTTGTTGCATTATTTCTTGATTCCATCTTGATTCCATTTTTATACACTATACTACTCAATTTTGCCAGAAAAAGTCATCAAAAATGCGTGATAAGCCTAATCAGAATTGATGAGCGCTGACTATCGAACTTAGAATTGAATAAAATCCACATTTCTTTGATTTAATCGATTTCTTGGAGTTTGAAACTGAACGGCTAAAACTGAATCGATCATTTAAAAAATCTAATTCATTCATTATCCAATTTGAATGTGAATTTATCAACCGTAAATTTCTTATGCCTATATATTTTTTAAAATATTTTGCCGTGAAAAACTATTGTTCCCACTCCCATCCCTCTCCTTTTCCGCATCCCATAAAAAATTTCTTCCGATTTTAGTTCTTTCGGACTTTTCACTTTTATTTCACTTATTTACTTGCTTCTTGTATTATCGAAAGTATTTACTTTTCTCCGAAACATTCTCAGCCTTCTTATTTCCATTCTCTTCATTTATATTGTTATTTATATATTGTTTATATTTTTACTATATTTTGTTTTTTAAATTCACGTTTTTTTTAATAGCTTATTGCAATTTAAAATCTCGCTTTCATACACTATTCTTGTTTTTTTAATTGCCATTTGGCTTTGTTTTTTCGAAGAAAAAGTTAAAATATTCAATTTGCGACACTTCTAAAATTTGATTTAGGCCTTCTTAAATTACTTTCTCAAATAGGAAAATGGAGAAAAATCACAAATTTAATTGAAAAGGAAAGTAAATATATGAAATAATAATATGAAAAACAAGTTTTTTTCATCCCAAATGCATATTTTTGGTATTTCCTACTTCGTTAAGTATTTACTTAGTTTTGCTTACTTTTTTTTTCTAAAATTAAAACATATTTTTCTCAATGATTGTTCGAATTTCGTAGAATTGTTTGAATAATTAATTATACGTTTATGATTGACAATAATTCGATTTGCGATCGGTCAGTACTATTCAATAAATAAATTATTTATTTCCTCTGGAACTCTAACTCTTCTGGCTAATTGGCTATCACATATGAACGGTTGTTGTTATCCTTTCAGTGAGCGAATTACGTCGAATAATGCAAAATTAGAAAAATTATTACTCTATATATGGCAATTCACTATAGCAATACTGTTAGCATAAAGTGATTTTCCTGAGTTTGCAATGTTGCATCCCAAAGAAAAATTAATAGAAATATTTAATAAAATAGAAGCATACCCATCGTTATTTAAATCAGATACGGCGACAGCAGCCCCAAAAAATTGTCCTCTTTGACCATTGCGATCGGTTAAATTTCTTAGTGAAATCAATTGGTGATTAAATATATAAACCTAAAAATGAATTAAAGTGATCTTTCTAAGTTTACAATTCGCAAATAATGACAAAATGACCAAAGGTAAGGTATATTCATTGTGCTATGAAAATTTGGAAATATTGGTTTTCAATCTAAATAAATGAAAAAATAGTAAATGAAAAATAAAACAAGGAATTTAAGATAAACTGAACCCAAATACAGGAAATTAGAAAGATTATTTCACTATATATGGTAACTCACTATAGCAATAAATAAATTGTAAATAATAAATTGCAAATTGTAAATAACAGGAAATTATAAATTTAGCGGCAGGGCGCTAAATCCCAAGTGGAATGCTTTTAAAGGTTCGGATTCTGCGCCGCTTTGAGAGAAATAAACCTCCCACTTAAAATATAGGGCGACTTATCAGTATTTCTATTAAAACAGTCTCTGGCAGAGGACCTCATTCTAATAGTCAGTGAAGATAGCCAAACCTGGAATGCTGAATGCTCTTAGAGTAAAGAGAAATTTAGATATAAAAATCAGATGCGGTCCATTTTCAACTTGGCAAATCAATCAGAAACGTGGTTACAAAAATAATTATTTTCAATTATTTTCATGTAAACAGTTTGGATCTGGATTAGCTAACGATACTATAATTGAATTATAAGTGAGATTCTTTAAGTGTTAAAATTAAATATGAAAATTACAGCTCCAATTAACGAATTTCCTCGCGGAACACCAGCAACAATATCATCCATACCATCACCATCAAAATCACCAACTGCTGAGGAATATCCTTAAAATTTCTTTTGCGAATATTAAATTAAAGTGAAGGTATTAAAAAAAGAATTACAATTTCCATAAAATGTTTTATATAATTTTGAGAAAATTTTACCTAAATTATGATTATCATGGTGCGGAGGACCGTCTTTAGTATTTGGGCGATCTGTCTGATTTTTGAGGCTCTGTGCGAAGATAGTACCTTGCCAATAATAAGCACCAGGTGCGCCTATGTAAATTTTTTCAAGGCCATCATTAGGAATAGCTGCGCTAAATCCACACATAGCATAACCGAAACGATGATGGCCATGTCGCGCAGCTAAAAAACATTTTATTTTTTCCATCAGAAGTTGATTATTGTTTTGGAAATTTTAATTAAATATTAATTAACTTTAATTAAATAAATTTATTAAAAATTGGAAATTTACAGGTCAAGAATGGCTTAATGAAAAGACTTCATGGTGTTGGCGATTCACCTATTCTTCCATCGTCAACTTACTACTTATTACTTCTTGCCAAAAATTTCTAACCATACTGATTGTGAATTTAACTAAAAGCGGCGAGCGATTATCTACTCATTTACTTGAATAATGGAACGATTTGCGATATTACAATAATTTTCGACGATTCAAGGAGAACTAACGTTCCTGACGGCATGATGCGAATTCTTCAATTCGATCAAATCCATCCGATGCATAGAAACATGTACCAACCGGTTCAACTACTTCAAACTTCGAGAAAAAATATTTATAATGAGGTGCGCATGCCTGAAATAATCGAGAAAATTCGCTGAACGAATCGAAAAATTGATCCCTCATAATTCGACCATCAAAACTTAAATAAAAATAAAAAATTATTAATTTAAAGATTGAATATAAACGGAATTGTAAAACAAAGAATTCTTTTGGAGGATTAATGGCTGACTAAAACTTTATCTCCTTTTTTAGATGTCACCACTGTTGCTCCAAACATTTGATCTGATTTTTCTTCAATCGGCAATAGATTTGACCCATTCAAACGTCTTTCATTGCCTTTAAAAATTTTTGACTGGTTTATTTATTAAGAAACAAGAAACAAGATAGTCAAATGATATGTTGCTTGGAATTAATCTATTATTAAAAGTGAAATCAGAGTAACAATGAAGGCTTATCTGTACTACGCTTCAGTGACGTGCGGGCACCAATAGCCAAGAGAGCAAGTCATCAAATCAGAAATGAAATGATTGTAGCATTTTTTGGTCGTAGTCATCATATTTTATCATATATTACCTATTTTATCAAAGAAATTGATGCTAGAATAGAATTTAAATTTTCGTTCATACTAAGGAATGAATTTACATGTTCGCGCATCATTAATGCTGATCTTTGAGATTAGATAGCACTGATTCTAATATTAAAATTTACCATCGCGGTCAAAGAAAATTTCCGAGCAAAGTGGTTTCTCGACAGAACATCGGAACACTGCTCCACTACTTCTGACTCCAGGTTGTCGAGCTGCACTATTGGATCTTGGTGATCCAACTAATAAACTAAAATATTAATTGCAGCAAAAAAATGATGGCAAATTTTGCATCAATTCTTTACCCAGGCCGATAATTTTGGAAGCATAATTTAAGCATTTATGGTCCTTTATGGTTAACAACTCCAGTGAAGAGCCTAATGGTGTGCAATATCAGATATCTGATTTTCAAAACAAAATTAAATGGAATTATCCATGCTGTTATTTCGCCCAAATGCATTCTCAAATCATTTTCAGTTTCATTCTTATTGTTACAATAGTTTTAATGTTTTTAAGATTTATAAATATATTTAGCCTTGTTTTAATTTAATTTTAATTTTAATTTAATTTAATTTTAATTTTTTAATTTTTTATTTATTTCATATTCTTATTTTTATTTTATTTTATATTTAATTTTATAATTATTATTGCCACGTTTGAATAAATTGGGAGCATAAAGATTTTGCCTGCGAATTGCTCATAAAGCGACATCAAAATTACTCAGAGAAAAATGAATTTTGCATGTTATTATAAATTTGTATGAATAAATAAATATAAATATAAATATAAATTCTTGCAAAATATTGGAAATAGGAAAGATGAATCAGAAAACGGAACTATTAATCAAAAAAATCATAATATTTGCTCATTTTTGCACAAAAAATTTCCAAAAAAAATAAATTCCTCAAAAAATTTAATTTTATGTAACAGATTAAATTGCTAATCTTCCTGAATTTAGCAAGGCGATTATTTGCAAAAATTAATAAAAATTTCCTCAGATTATTTATACCTTTTGCCCATATTTTTTTAAATTTTTTATTAATATTTTTCATTTCAGTTTATTTAGAATCTACTACCGATATTATTATTATTATTATTATTATTATTATTATTATTATTATTGTTATTATTATTACCACTATTATTTGTATAGTTGTTCATTAAATTTGCTGCAAATTTTTAATTAGTTGGTATTAATTATCAACGAAATTTTCAATTCTTATCGAAAGAAAAAATTCATTTATATAAAGACAAATTTATGTTTTATCGAAAAATAATAATAAGATTTATCGCAAGAACATAATATACAAATGTCAATGAACTCAGTTATTTTCATAAAATTTTGAGAAAATTCCATTCATTAAGTGGACGAAACAAAATTTAAAGAAACTGTTAACCTACGAACTTATAGAAATAATTCACTGATTTCTGATTTACCTCGAATGATTTAGCAGCAAAAAGGAATCAAGGAAAGGAATTAAAAGCCAATGGAAAGTACTATTAAAGGAATGAAGATATTGAGGTATGAAGGTAATGAATAATAACATTCTTTCTCCTCGCTATCCTATCATTTCTTGTTTATCTTCAAATATCTCATTATGCATATAATCAGGAAATCTGAATCAGGAAACCGTTTTTTGCCATGATAAAATAATGTTAAGTTGTATGATTGGACAATTGTTGAATAAGCCATGTCTTTTGAATAAAAAGACGACATTTAGATCGACAAATTTCAATAATTTTTAGAACTGATAACTGATATTGATATTTTCAATTTGTTAATTTTTTGCAGTCGTAAAAGATTATATATTTGCAATATTGTTGCAGAAAATTATGTTCAAGGAATTATTTCGAACAGATGGAAAATTTGTCATTTCTTCTTGGTTCTTAAATTGATAAGATATTTCTTAAAAAATTTCTTATAAAAGTTCCTTGAAATACCACTTCAGTCATTTTTTATTTAGTTTTTCTTCCAGAAAACCTCGTTCGAAAAGAAATATTTGTTTGAAGTGTTATATTGATAAGATTTATTGATAAAAGAAATAAAATTTTTTACGGATTATTAAAAAACTACAATCATTTTGTATGTTTTGTTAATCATTTCGACAAAAAATATCCAGTGAATCAACCCGCAGTCCATAATTCTGGAATAATCGTGACAGGATGACTGAGTATATTGGTACAACTATGGTCAAGTCACCATAGATTTGATTGCTCTCTTTAGAATATATTAATTAGGAATAAATCTATCGAAGATGAAACCTTGGTGGTGCTGGCGACCTAGCTGTACTTCAGTCACAAAGTATTTGGCAAAGAGTTATTATCCTAACAATTGCGGTCAGCCAAAGAGAAATGAACAGTGCAAAATAAGAAGAGACAAAAATTCTAAATTTTCTATGGAAAACTCATTAAATTTTGAATTTCTTTTACAGTCTCATTAATGATTAATGATTAATTATTTAATATTAGCAACAGAAACATTTTTTCTTATTTTTTTCATCTTGATTAATCCTATGACAAAATTTCATTTGGTACCTTAAACTTTTCTAAAATAATCAGTTACTTATGAGAATTATTAAGTAAAATTTAAGGAAATGTTAATTTATGAAATCATTTCCATTAATAAAGAACACATCTTCAATTTTTAAAAGATAACTGTATGAAAAAACTGCATACATGAATCGTTTTTTTCATAAATTAAATATTGGGTATTTACTCGTATTCCAATAAGGATGCGTAATATGCGAGTTGCATAATAGGTTATTGTGTTGAGACGTACGATTTGGCTCCTAACCCAGTAAATCTGTCATTGAAAAATCCGACCAGTGCTGGCAATCCGACTATTTCTGTCAATAAGTGAGTCATGGCAAAAATTTCTAATTACACTAACAATCAGCGGAGCTAGCCTAATGATTAGATGACTAGCCTAATGATGAGCGCTAAATATTCCGGTACTATTTTCTAAAACCTTATAATTTTTTATTCAACGATAAAGTCAATAGTAAATGCTGGTTGACATCTGCGTTATATATTATAAATGATAAATTAGCCTATTCCTATTTTTCATGCATTTTTCAAACCATCACTGGGGTTTCGAGTGAATTGATGGTTGTCAAAGGTCGTATTAAAGAGAAATACTTCCGTTTTCTTAGTGAATTATTTCTAATAACTTGTTGTTCTTATTTCTAATAACCAAATTAATTACCAAAAGATATATAAGAAATTTTTATACTACATAAGACCAGAGTCACTCAGCTGAACTAGATGAAATGGGATGACGATAGCCGGTGCATTATTCTTCAACTTCGAATTCAAGCATCATGAGTTTGTTTCCTGCCCGTTGATGGCAGTAAACTTTATCATTAAACTATGAATCGATGACTCGCTTATCGGTTATATCGGTCTTCCTTTTATGGAACTCCATTAAATAGAAAATACAAATTTCTAGGAGTTTTTATCACTAGGTTTAACGAATCAAGGAGTAGGAAGACGTAATTTCAAAACGCAGTGAAAAATTTCGCCTTCGCCGTTGTAAATCGATACCATATATAGCGATTTCTTGCAATAATATTGATGTCCACAAAGGGTCAATTGTATCCCAAGAGAATTTTATCATGTCAAAAATAAGAAATATACTCAAAAATCTTAACAAGTTATTCGCTGATCAATTAAAATAATAAAAAACCATTTCGACCATAAAATTATACAATGATATAATGCAGAATGGTATAGTGATAAGGTTAATCAATAAGACTGCGATTAAATTAATGAGATATCTCTTAAATTCCTGTCCCTTTTAAACCCAGAATATCAGATATAGGATTAGGCCGAGATGGCAAAATTTTCGCCAGAGAGTCAGCTAGCGATAGAAATACAGGTGAGTTTCCAGCGTTACCAAGATTTAAATTATTTTAACAGGGACAGGAACCTAACATTCGAGTCTAACCTGAATAATGGCCACTTGATTATTCTTGCAGCTAGCAAATCAAGCCAACCAAACCAGCAATGATTTAAAAAAAAAATACTATTCCTCAAAATTTTTCCATAAATATATAAGAAATAGTGTAAAAAAAGGAAGAGTTTTAAAGAAAAAAATTTTTGCACCAACTGGCAGACAAATATTTGTTGTTTAATTTCATAAAATTTTTTAAGAAATTGAGCAATAAATCATTATCGAACATTTTAAACATTTTAAACATTCCTTGTATAAATGAACGAATTTTTCTCTAACCTAAATTCCTCTTTTGTCTAATACAAATTTTTATTTTAAAAAATCTTTGTCCTTATTATCCTTTGGTTGGTTTTTCAATAATTTTGTTCTCCACCTCTTTCCGTTAAGCTCTTTTTACGTGATCATTTTGCCAGACTAAAGCTTTCTTTTTTGTGAGAGCAAGAATATAGCCAAGCGGACAGTGATTCGAATTATCGTGCCAAGGTAAAGCATTCGGTTCCTGCCGCAGTTAGAAATAAATCTGTCATTAAGAAATCGGTATAAATCCGGCGACTAATCTTTTATCGCAAAATAACTCACTGGCGGAATTTTCTAACCGTACTAATAGCCAGCGGAACCAATCTAATCGCTGACCATTTATTCATTCACTTTTCTTTCTATAAACATAGAATTTCGGCAATTTTCATCTTTAAAAGTTCGCGAAACCAACTATGGAAGTTATCAGATTCAACAAATTCAATTTATTGTTCCACCTAGTGAAATAAACCAATGGATGTTCAACCCAAAAGAGGGAAAAAACATCTTGAAAACATGATCTCCAAATATTTATTGAATGAATTTAAGAATGAAAACCGCATAAAAGATAATCTAAACGAATCTAAGGCTGGCAGTGGAAAATTCAAAAAATTTAGGACAAATGTGAAAAGAACTTTGTAAATTCTTTACTAATTTCAATCAAGACAATAGAAAAGTCTATTTAAGCTATGCGTTTCATATTATTCTATGCTATAAAAAATCTATAGGGCTTTTCCCTTCATTATAAATATATATGCTTTGGATATTTTCTAAAGTAAAGACCTTTCAATAAACGAAATTTTTTATCGTTAGTCTTACATATAAATGTAAATGCATTTGATCTTTTAGAAATGATCAGTTTATTTCTGTTTAAATTTCTTTTTTGCTCGATCCTACACGTATATTTATCTTATCTTTTATCTTAAGCAAGGCATTTACTTTTACTTTTCATTTATTTTTTTTTAAAAAAGAAAAAATCGACAACTAACAGCGCCATTCCTTG